TGTGTTCCCACTACCTCATTTTAAAATATCTAGGTTTTGCTTAAATGCCTCCCACCTAACCAATGAACCAACATTATTTTGTGAGAGCTGAAAGAATCACAATCCATAATAGTATGAATGTACACATGCACATAAATCATCTGTGCTACTTTTTGGACACAACTACTACTACAACATGATGATATTTTAAAATACAATGTAGATTTCAAATGTAAGCCATTATAAGTTTATGATGACAAGGCATAACAGGGCTTGGATTTCTATGTAATACCATGTGGGCAGCATAACACTGACAAGTATGGAAGGACAGGAGCATGGCTATGTTGTTGGAAGGATCTCCATATAACATGTTAAACCAACCAATCTGCCTCTGATTGTCATCTACATAAGTAGAAGCTGAAGCTCATCTGGGCAATTTTGAAAATGTATAGTGCCTCAAACCACATGCCTTCTTGACATCCTTTGTATATTCAACCATTATTACTAGCATGCTTTGTGGTAACATGAGTTTATTAGGTGTGCTATAAAAGCAAATTTTATGATAATTTAAAAATGACTCGTTAAGAAGTCTCCACTTGAAGTATGTATGTTTGTACTTATACTAATCTATACACACAAATGCTGTAAGTGGACACATTTTTAAAAAAGAATAGGATTTGGCTTTATAGAGAATAGGGATGTCAGTGGTTAACTAGTTAACTAGCAACCCGGCTGTGTCATGGTAGCTGTCCCAATTGGAGCAGCCTCCTGCCTGCAGGGCAATGCAGTGGGCCCAGCCTGGCCACAGCAGCCCTGCTCATGGTGGGCCTGGCTAGGCCCACCGTGCCATGGGTGGGGGCACTCCAGTTCAACTGGAACCATGCCCACCCATGGGCGGGGGCACTCCAGCCCATCTGGGCTAGAGCAGCTCCTGCCTGCCCCCATTTAAGCGGTTAACCAGTTAAAATGTAACATTTAACAGGCTAACCGATTAAACGAAATTTTGATCCCTAAGAGAGGACCTATCATACACAGACACTTTAGAAAGCCGTGGTTTAGAAAATGGTAATACTGTGATTCTGTGACATACACATAATTTAAAAGCACTAGATATGCGTATGGGTATTACAATTTTTTCATGTACCCATGAGCAAGCAAGTCACAACCAAATCATGAAAATCCAGATGCTACTAGATTTACTTTAATTTATTCTCTTTTTTACCTTCCACCGACCTCTCGATTTTAATAATTTTTACTTTATATATTGAAATATTTCTGTCATAAATGAATGACATAATGCAGAAATAAAATTAACACGCACCTGACTAGTTGAGTAGAAAAAGTAAATTTACAAATATTTCATTAAAACACATTTTAGTTATAGACATATTTTTCTTTCCAGTTTGATTGGATTGAATTTAATTCATTATGTTTAATGTTCATTTATATGACCGGCTATTCTCCATTTGTTAGCAAACAGAGTAAGAAAAAACTTTCCTGTTCCTAACAGAAACAGCCCTAAAGGTATATGTGGTGATTAAAAAAAGCATATAAATGAAAATTGGACATCTGTGTTGTATTACCAAAGTCAGAAAGGAAGTTCCAAGCATACATTTATTTAATGCTCTGCTTGATATCTGGTATTGCCAATGCTATTTACATATAAATATATAATATATTCACAGATTAGCACTTAGTTTTAATCAAACTTGGAATTCTCAGGCAGCACACACAGAATTTTGCTGGTAATGTCAGCAGTCAGTGTATCGTTAGGGCCACTAGAAAAAGGAATGACACAAAAATAGCTTTTAGAGAAAATATATGTTAATGTAATTATTTTTTGTTTTAATGATTGCAGTTTCATAATTATTGTGGCACATATATGTCCAAGAAATAGATACGTATAACATATACACATATACATACACACACACACACACACCATCGTCCCAAAACATTCAAGAACATTTCATTTAAACAGGTATGGTAATCTTCCTGATTATGCAAATCTAGAAATTCTATTCTTATATGCATCCTTCTCAAAGAAAGTGAATGTTCATGGCCAGTTATCCTTAACACAATGAAATGTAGCCTTCCATATATTCATACTGTCAGATTTAAATATTTCTTATGTACATTGGGCCTGATCCATGCCCACTGAAGTAAACATGAGTCTCTGAATTTACATTTATGGACTTTATATCAGGTCCATAAAGGATATCCATCTGTGTGTCCACTCGCAATTGCCAATCATATAGCTGGGTACATGTATAACATATGCAGATATGTGCGCACACATCTTTCCCAAACTATGTTCATCAGCACATGAGAGCTGTGTAGTAAGAATTCCAAGTCTTTCATTCAAATTATTAGAGTTCTTGAATATTTATTACAGTGATGCATTACTGAACATATCCTGCACATTATACTGGTCACACTTTATATGACAGTCATATTTATGAACAATTTATAGTGGCTTTATATACGATTAATAGTTATGATAAGCATGTTACAAACATGACTGTTATAGGCTATTGTAAGCCATTGTTCCATGGAGCTTATTCCCCTTGTTCTATATATTAAAACATCTATGAATCATTTATGAACTGCTTATAAAATATTTACAAATGTATCCTTAAGCTAAAAGGTGTGACCACAATATATACAGTTCTGGACAGGAAGTATTGTGTATTGAAAATGTAGAAGCTTTACTCTCTCTCTCTCTCTCTCTCTCTCTCTCTCTCTCTCTCTCTCTCGATCTGTCACACGCAATACACTCCCAAGTACATTCTAGAAAACGTGGAAATATCATGTCATTGCAATAATTTAAATACTAGAGAGAAAAAAAGGAGTATATACCTAAAGGTTATTTGGAGGTAATTTTGATTCTTTGCAGTAGGTAAACTTTAGAATGCACTCCCATTCCCAGTGCTATAGCTGAAGTGATAAGTTATTTAAGGGTTGAAAAAAAGTTATACGTATAGATATTTGTTTTCCTACCTGAAAGCTGGTTTCTAAACACTGAATATTTATGGGTGTTAGTAGGATTTATTTGGAAAGAGAAGAGCTTCATAGATGAGTCAAGAATATGAATACAGTAGTGCAATTCTGTCATATACATCTTTATATACTATTTCTTTCTATGGCACTAAAAGTAGTGCCCATTCTTAGTGGGCAAACTTCTACTCTTTGTGAATATGACATAAATAGTGGGAGATTGTACTAACTGCTATGCTATTCACCAGATTTGGCAGTCAATACCTCAGGGTTGTTTTTGGCAAGTGTATCCAAATAAAGTAAAATTTAGGCAGCAAAATGTGTCAATTAATGATAGTTGTGAGAAAGACAAGTGATCTATTTTCTAAGGAAGGTTTTCATATTTAACTATTTTGTTTCTTATAATCAGAAGAGAGAGTATGTGTTTTCCTACCTTCTCCAGAAGGAACACTTGGATCTCAACACAGAATATCAAAAGGCAACTAGTTTGATTAGTTAAGATGTAAGTCTAGTTTATGTTTCAATATGTACCTGAGCTCTCCAAATCAATTTCAGCAATTAACTGCTTATGACTTTGTAGTGTAACCATCTGGCTCTCAGTTCTGCGATATTTTGTAAGAATCCTGGAAACTGCTCAACCATAAAAGTGATCAGTAAAATGTCTAATAAGGTGTTAGCAGGAGTGAAATAAAAACTTCTTGACCAGTTCATGAATCTCACAGCTTGAATTCTGAGCCATTTGTTTAATTGAAATATTTTTATCTGATGTGCATCTGCATTACATCTGCTAAGTATGCTTGGATCGTTATGCTTTTATAATTCTCACTGTAACTTAGATGGGGAGGGGAGGCAAAAAAACAAACACAAATTGCTTTTGGGTGTCATCCAGCACTGAAATACTGCCTTTTTTTAACTCCCTGAAATATACTTCACAATCTATGAAAAAAATGTATAAACCAACACAAAAGATCATAGAATTAGCATGAAAAACCCAGCAATACCTAAACCTGCAGTGAATATCATGTTCCAAATATGAAAGCTATGTATGTAATGTAATCTATAAAGCATCTTAGACTTAGATTCCAAAATCACAAAACTCATCAGATTTCTACTTTTCATAAAACATTTTGAGAAATGTTTATCATTAACGATATTGAAAAAATATTTATCTATCTATCTAAAATGCATGATTCCAGCATGAATTTCAATTCAGAACTAAACTGTTTATTTAAATGTTAATTTAAGGATTATGTATATTTTGCGTACCATCACATGATTAATCTGTCTGGGATCACTTTGAAACATATACCATAATGAATCATAGTTTGCATTTTGATACCTTATTTACCAAAGCTACATTAATTTATTGCCATGAAACTAATTCTGCAATCTAGTTTTAAATTATAACTACAACAAAAGGTTTACCAGGTAGTTTCAAAAGTTGTTTCAAGTCAAATTATTTTGTCTTGCTCACCTCATCTAAAATGGAATGTATGTCTTTAAAGCTTCCCCATTTCTCCCCCCTCTATCCACCAAAGAGACTGAATTAAAAAAAACCCATGAAATGCTGATTTACTCAAGTTTTGCATGATATTAATTTATATATACTTTCCAACAGATTTGGCACAGTATCTCAATATTTAGCAGAATTGCTCTACGCTACACAATATATATATTATCACTATGTATTTTAAAGTCTCTTAACAAACCCTTAATAGTTAAGCACCTGCAAGGTTTCAATGAGCAAAGAAATCTCCTTTTCCCTTCCCTCCCTCCAACACCATCTCCTGGAGACCAAAGACTTATTCACTATGTTTAAAACTTACTGAAGTTTTCTGATTCCTAACAACAAAAGCAAAGGAAAAACAACATTCTAATTCAAGTATCAGATTTCTTCTGCCTGCTGTTCCAGGTTCTAAACAAGCTAACTGTCTTTCTTGGCACTGTTTATGAATCCTGTACATAACAACAGATGAAATCACAAGATGCAATCACCAAAAAATGCAATAACAAAAAAGCCTCACCTGCCAGATGAAACTGCAGTAGCAACAGCAAGAGCAGCAACAGCATGCACAGTAGCTTGTACTGTGGTAATACCTTTTTTCCCTCTAAATCATTCTGGCATGAAACTGCCCTTTTTGGTGTCCCCCTTCATTCACAAAGGATCTCACAGGCATGGCAGACAGGTGGAAAACACTTTCTTCCTGGAAGAGGTTGTCTCTCTTCTCAGAAATGACTGAATCTCTCTCTGTGAGTCCCTACACATTTACCCTTCAGATCAATACTGCTCTTTAGCAGCAGCTTGAGCTCAACTGCAGCTGATAGAGTCTAGCCAATTGGTATTGAGGATTCCCTTTCTGTCACCCCCTCCCTCAAAAATATACAGCTTGCATTTGAAATTGTATTAGTTGTGAAAAGTAATTTTAACCCTTTACTTGAAATCTAACCTGTTCTCTTGGCACTCCCCTTAGCTTTCATTTTCTTCTTGTTTTCAGAAAATCCCTGAGTGAACAAAATATTCCCAGTTAGAATCTTTCAATATGAGCTAGTTCAACACTGTGAAAACTAAAACCTGTAAAAGTGCTAGTGACTGACCAAAAAACTGATGGTACTCTGAAATGTTCGCAATCTATTAGGTTCCAAATGTCATAAAAACTGCAGACACATCAAACTGCCATTGGCTTATCATCAGTATTGAAGTATTTTCTCCCCTCCTCCCAAGCATTCACAGATTTCTGAAAAGAAAACTGCTCCAAAATAGGATGTCATTTTTTTTCTAAGAGCATATTCCAGGACCCTATTTGTGATTCTATCATGCATTTTTTTTCTATTTAGTTACTTTGATTTTTTAGAGCACCCAACCAAAACTCCATGTGCACATTTATCAATGCTTTCTACTAATTTAACACATTCTAAAAC